AAATATTTGTGTATGTGTATGTGCGGTGAGAACATCTAGAAGTACTTCTATTTCCTTTGCATCTGCTCATTCTTAGTTCATCACCGCACTTGCGTCATTGTCGTGACTTCGACGAGACCATTTTTTTCCCCTAAGCTCCGGTCATGAAGAGAACCACATGCTTTCATTAAGAGATGTGATAATAGTGGAGTCTTCAACACCGAGTCATGTGAGAAGAGGACACTGACATACAATCAATAAAACCATCTTCCTTAGGATTGCACGAGTTTTTGAGCTAAGCATATGAACGAGAACTTAATGTATGATGAAATGCCTCAAACGCTTTATTGAGAAATAGGTCATGAATAATGCTCTCGCAAATGGTGGTGCTTCCATGTTCATTTCTACGTCCATCCTTGTCTATTTTAGGTGATTTAGATTTTAGTATTTCTCATACCAATATTTATGGAAATATGGCAGACACAAACTAAATCAAACTGGGCATTCATATGCAACTAGCTAATTGTCCTTGCGTTGCAATGGGGGCATACAAAGTCTAGTGGTTCAACATACCTCACACATCCATCATATTCTAGATTTTGGTAAGATTTGATTTGATTTGAATATGGGTACCGTAGGCAAGGAATGTTTTCATTTGGTTGAGATTTTGGTAAGATTTGATTTGAATCGGGCAAGGGTAAGGGAAAGAAAGGAAATTTTTGATTTAGTTGAGGTTTTGGCAAGATTTGATTTGATTTGATTGAGTTACTGCAAGACATGGCTTTATAAGAAGAGGCGACGGACGAACGTACAAACATCAAACCTATCATCACAACCGCAGACTTCCCATTAATAGTAAAGATAATATTGACTTATTACTTGGTTGAAATATATGAAATGAGAAGTATCCATTATAAATATGGATTTTCTCTGATGTTGGAATACTACTTAAATGAACGTGTAGATTCATATGCATTTGGTAATAAGGGGGAAATTAGTTCCTAAAGGGTCAACTATTATGCAGTTGTAGACATAGACAATTCATGGAAAACTCGCCAAATCGGTTGTTGTTTGCTAAGTAGGATCAATCTAGTCACAAAATATTGAATTTTATCCTCATCTGGCATACTCACGGTCGGTGTCAAAACCGGCGGATCTCGGGTAGGGGATCCCGAACTGTGCGTCTAGGCCGGATGGTAACCGGAGGCAAGGGACACGAAGTTTTACCCAGGTTCGGGCCCTCTCGATGGAGGTAAAACCCTACGTCCTGCTTGATTAATATTGATGATATGGGTAGTACAAGAGTAGATCTACCACGAGATCGAAGAGGCTAAACCCTAGAAGCTAGCCTATGGTATGATTGTTGATGTGTACGTTGTCCTACGGACTAAAACCCTCCGGTTTATATAGACACCGGAGAGGGTTAGGGTTACACAAAGTCGGTTACAATGGTAGGAGATCTTTATATCCGTATCGCCAAGCTTGCCTTCCACGCCAAGGAAAGTCCCTTCCGGACACGGGACGGAGTCTTCAATCTTGTATCTTCATAGTCCAGGAGTCCGGCTGAAGGTATAGTCCGGCTATCCGAACACCCCCTAATCCAGGACTCCCTCACTCACATATCCACATCTTTACAATTTTGCAATTGGATGTCATATTTAATAATGCACATTAGATATACTTGGCATGACAAGCGCTCAATCCATGGAGAACATGTAAAAGGTTAAATAAGGAGTTCTGCTTTGGCCCATTCATGTTAATTTATAGCATAGTTGAACTACAACTGCAAACTTTATCAATTACATAAGCGATGAATATGGCAAACTTAAAAAAAATCCACGTCAAGATCAAACATATTGATAGTTATACATATTTTTACTCATGGAGGTGTTAAGACAATGTTCTGGGGTTGACCACCCCTCCTTTTGTCCACTTTTGGGTCAACAAGAATCAACCATGTGACTTTTTTCAGTCGATCCTGACTTTTACCAATCTGTTGTCATGATCGTCGTTGTTAAGGGGGTGTAACGTTGTGTGCTATGTGAGAAAGAGAGGGAGCTAAGACTTTGGTGGAGTCTAGCCATTGCAACAACCCAATGCCAATCGAAAGAACATAGAAAATAGTAAAGTAAAATAACCCGTTGCTAGCCAAGAAATATATTTATTTACATGCTCATCATGGTAATCATTATGGATATGACCTATAGACTACTCTAGAAAACTTGTGGAAGCTCCTAACAAAGTAATCTATTTTTTTCAAATTTATCGGTCCAACTCGGAGAGGATAATAAAACATACCACTACACTAAGAAATCCAATCTTCTTTCCATTTAAGACTTGGAATAGAGAGTGATTCGTTGTGTTTGGAACAAAGCGATTTCGTAGGAACTTCGATAGTTCACGCAGAGTGCTTTCATATTGAGAAGTATTCTTCATCGCATGCTGCTTCACAATCTAATACCATTTAATTGACTTCAAGTAATGTGCGATTTTCATTGTGATGATTCCATGAGCTAATCTTCCGTAGCTAGTACTTCTTCATTTGGGGTTTACACGAAAGAGGAGGTATACTGATTTTCAATATTAAGCAACATATGCTCTCGTTCATCTACTCGTACATGAGTGCATATCAAGCTTCCTCCTAGCAAGGGGTGGGAATGCCTATATGAAATATTTATCATGTCATATTTTCATATAAAAAGACCTTTTTGCTGAAGTGGTGAACATGAGGACATGATTTCACTTACTAGGTAGGAAAGCTAGAACGAATATCTCATAGGCAAGGTGATGTCTCTTTATCTCGAAAGCCTTTTCACAGGCAGGAAAGTTCTTCTTTAATCCCACTCCTTTCATTTAGAATTGTGGGTGCAGTTCAGTAGAAAATATACAAGATGTGTGGACTTGAACTAGTGTTTGTGCATTGGTGGTACACGGCCTAGGTCCAGATACTGGTCTATAGTGTGGGATAATATAAAATTAATAAGACACAAGTTTAATTGTGAAAGATATCTCCTTCGTTTGCAAGGTATATCTCATAAAGATTTCTGTTGGATAGTGATGCAATATATCCATCTTATCATTTATTGATATTATCTCGTAAAAGTAAGCTTTTAAATGCACATAGTAGGTTAGTTTTTCGGCTTCCATGTACATGTATACTTCTAATGTGTGCTTGTGTGAAGTAATGGGTGTGCCTTTAGCGTTAATATGCATTAGTTGTTTTTTGAAGTTATGAACACGCCACCCATGAGTATGTAGGAACATTAGATAGACCAATGTGAACGGGTCTGGATGTCAAGATTTAATGCTTAGACAAGGAGGAACATTGGACAAGACCATTAAATGTGATTAACGGAGAGTATATTACATTAATGTAGTCTTCTACCTCCATGGTCGGATGAAGCATAGTCAATCACGCAATGTGTATCTGTAACATTAAGAATAACACTACTTCTATTTTATTATATGTCACATATATATCGCATGCCATCATCTGCAAGGTTGAAAGAAGTTACATATACAAAATGGGCATATCTGTATATCGGATATAGGTCGTTGCTTGCTACATCAAAGACAGGGTTGCAAAAGGAAAATTACAGGGAAGAAACTTTTTTCAACACAAAAGCAATGGAAGAAGAAACAAAACACTAGACTGTTATATCTCATTCAGAAATTTAGCGGGTACTAAGCATTGGCGAATCTAGGATTTTGAAACAGGGTGGTCCATCCTAATTTGTTCTTTGAACTACAACACATGCAGAGAATAGCCTTCTTTGCAACATATTTCCAAAAAAGAGAAGCATCGTCTATGGTCCTCTTCATTCTTCAACAATTCTACAATGAAAATTACATTTTGCCCATGGATACTTCAAATCAAGCAACCAATATAAGCACAACAAACCCTAATGAGTAATGAATCTAGTGCAATCAGAATTTAAGAAATTAGGGAATGGAAAACCATATGTGGACAAAAATTGAAACATGACTGTTACGGACTGAGCGACTGCTGGCTGGCAGCTGGGCGCAGAGCTTGGACGGTGGCCTACGCGGCTGCGATAGTGTGGTGCCGCTGTTGGGTGGGTGGCTCGTGGCTTTCTGGGCATCCTGGGCATACGGCGACGGCGAGTCGCCAGGGAGGCAGACTACTAGCAACAAGTAGAAATTAGGAGGGCGGATGGGAATCAGGGAGGCACGTGAGGCAGCCGGGCTAGATGGGTGTGGATACGCCACTGCTAGTACTAAGTTATTATGTGGACAATGCGTAATAAGCGACATGCTGAAGTTTAACCAGATTTATTTTTAAAAAAATCACATTGCACCAGGGTTTTTTTAAATCCAAAGTCATGATTTGAATTCTCTCCGGTCCGCCAATTTTCAAGAACTTTCACCACTGAACATGGGATGGAATTAGGTTATTAGTTTCTTTTCTTTCAAATACATGGCCGGTCGACAGGGAAACATACCCGAATTTAATCAACCTATTTCTCTGTCAAATATCTCCATAACGGTCGGTACGATTGATGTGCGAGAATCACCACACATTTGCCAATCATTTTTACTACTCTTGGAAATGGACCTCGTGCAGCCAAGTACAAATACACAAATCTGTTCATGCGTGCGTCATGCATACGCGTGACAGCGCGAGGGAGGAGAAAAAAAAAAGGAGGTCCTAAGCATTTGGCGCCTTCTCTCTCCAGCCCTCATCTTTTTGTGAAGCCATCCACGTTTTCCCTCCGCCTTAACTGCTTCTCTCCTTCCTCCCTCCGTCTCCCACTCTCCATCTCCTTCTTCCTCCGTCGCATCACCCCAGTGGTTGCACGCACGGACAGATCGACCAACAAACCTCCAGCCCACGCAGAAATTAACCAAGGGCCGGACCGATCCGCACCATCCCGCCATCCAACCGTGGGCGAGCGAGGCCGGCCAGTCGGTCGACCACCGGAGAAGCGCGGGATTCTTGCCCCGTCTCCCGGCCGCCGGGTTTAGGCCGCAGACGTACGCCGGAGCGGCGGGTGTTCGCCATGGATGTGGAGGGCGCCACCGTGCAGCCGAGGAAGAAGAATTCTTGGGTAACTATGTTCGACTCCTTCCTAGATTTACTGAGAGTTCTTGGGTTATTAATTCGTTTGTTTTCGTGTGCCTGGGGTTGCGTTGCTCAATCAATTGCATTTTCTCGGGGCCTCGTTCTTGGATACCCCCGCCGCTTACTCTCGTTCCTGGAATACTCCCACCGCTTGCTCTTGCTTGGATCTTCTTTCTTTTTTCTATCCTGTAGCTCTAGTGCAGTCCCTGATTAATTCTCTTCCCGGGTATATCCACACACGGAGAAAAAGGTGTGTGTATCTGCAGAAAGGATAGATGCTTTATCTAGTTCCCAGCATCAGCATGGCTCCTCCTCCAAGAAAGGAAAATGTTTGCAGCATGCATGGCTCCTCCTCCAAGAAAGGAAAATGTTTGCAGCATGCATGGCTCCTCCTCCAAGAAAGGAAAATGTTTGCAGCATGCATGGCTCCTCCTTTCTCACTTGTGAAGTTACTTTAACTGTACATGGAAAATTTGTCTGCGTGTTATTACTAGCTAGGCCAGGGATCATCTAGATTTTGCACTGGGTTCCTTGAGGAATGCTCTGATTGGAGAGATTTTACGCCGGAATAGTTTTGATGGTTTGTTGGCTTTCACTTTCAGTGAGATGTCTATAAAATTCACTGAGTTTCAATCATTTCAGTGCACACTGAAATACTTACCTTTCGGTCAAAATATTTCAGCCATTTCAATAGTACACAAAAAATTAAATAAAATAATAGATATTTTTCTTAAAGAAAATCAACTTTTTGAGTGAAGATTTTGGTCCCTTGACCAAATGCAAACAAAAATCAATGAATTTTACTTAATTTCATCGATCACAGTTGTGGCTGAAATATTTCTAAAATTGGACTTCAAAACCGAGCTGATCTACTCCTGAATTCTGGTGTGGTTATTTTGAGAAGAAATTAATTGCCATGCCATAGATTCTACTTCTACATAGTAAAGTAAGCACTTCCTTCTTGTGTCTAAATCAGCTTGTCAAGTCCCCGGTCCATGTCTATTTCTTGGAAGCATACGTCGCTTGCCACAACTAAAGGTTTTGTTTCCCTGTCAGATCAGATCACCATTTATGGTCAAAATGGACACATCGTTTTGGTCTTAGCTCAGACTTCTCTATCTGAGTTGAAGCTACGTTCCTCCCTACCCATTTAAAGCTTCACTTTCTATCTAGGTTTCAGTTTCAACTATTTTGGCCCATGATTTCAACCGACTACACATATTCATTCGTAACTCAAGTTGCTTGGTAATAACTTTTGTGGTAATTGATTGATTGATTAAACATGTCCTTATCTATCCGTGCCTACGCAGGGTTGGCAAAAAGGGACGCTTCTGCTGGCGTACCAGAGCTTCGGCGTCGTTTACGGCGACCTTTGCATATCACCCGTCTACGTGTACAAGAACACCTTCTCCGGGAAGTTGCGTCTCCACGAGGAGGATGAAGAGATCCTCGGCGTGCTATCGTTGGTTTTCTGGAGCCTCACCCTCGTACCGCTCCTCAAGTACATCATCCTCGTCCTCGGCGCAGACGACAACGGAGAAGGTAGGCGTGTTCGTGTCGGGACTCGGGGTTCTCTCTTCCACTATCTAAAATTATCGGGAGTTATACGGCGCGAACGTTTGCACTGACATGTCATCGCGCGAGCTTTGCAACGTTGCATCGATTTGTTGCTATGCGCAATGTGCATCTAGATGCGTGTTCACCGTGATAATGACGTGACCGGCTAACTGCGTGTGCGCCGTGCGGTAGTGCAGTCCAAAATATACTAGTACACGTCTTCGGGTTGGAGGAGTTCTTTTTCATTACCTACCTAAAAACATGTAATTTTTTTTAAAAGGATGAAGTGGCGGAGCGTAAAACAAAACCAAAAACATGCCAATAGCTTGCTCAATGGGCCATCTTTTGTCATTGGGCCAATTCTACATCAAATCCTGAAAGAAAATCCAGAGAAAGGGATGGGCCATGGCCCGGTTTGGTCATCACAAGGCTCCGCCCCTGGGTAGCAAATAGGCATGCTTGTGACAAGGGAATGTTTTTTCTTTAATTACCTGAAAAAAGAAACATGCATGCTTTTGCTGTCGGGATACTCATTCAAAATGTAAATTTAATGCTACTATCTCCGGTCCATATTAATTATCGCTGATTTAGTACAAATACAATTAATATGGATGGATTGTGGGAGTAGGTATTTTTGTGCAAGTATTGATAAATATTTTTTGGCAAAATATAATGTGATGCGCAGGTGGCACGTTCGCACTGTACTCCCTGATGTGCAGGCGCTCCAGAATGGGGCTCCTCAACAGCTTGCACGCCGGCCACGGCTCCGTGTCGTCCTACAACCAGGACGAGCCCTGCAAGGAGACGCGGAGCAGCCTGGCCATCAGGGGGTTCTTCGAGAAGCACCACTCGCTGCGCGTCGTGCTGCTGCTGTTCGTCCTCATGGGCACCAGCATGGTCATCGGCGACGGCGTCCTCACCCCGACCATGTCAGGTGAACTGACGACGAAACCTCGTTGATCTCTTGCACCCAGCAAAATGTTCTTGCCTGAACTTGTATGATTTTCTGTAGTGCTGTCAGCAGTCTCCGGCCTCAGGATCAAGTTCCCGGAGCTACATGAAAGTAAGCACGCACCCAGCTCCCACACTGTCTTTCTGAACCGCAACTGATCGACGGCTCTACGTCGCAGACTACACGGTGCTGCTCGCGTGCGTCGTGCTGGTGGGGCTCTTCGCGCTGCAGCACTATGGTACGCGCCGCGTAGGGTTCCTCTTCGCGCCGATCCTGCTCTCCTGGCTCGCCTGCATCGGCGGGATCGGGATCTACAACATTTTCAGGTGGAACCCGACCGTCGTCCGCGCGCTGTCCCCGTACTACATCTACAACTTCTTCAGGAAGGCCGGCAGGGACGGGTGGAGCTCGCTTGGAGGGATTGTGCTCTGCATCACAGGTTGGTTTGATCACACATTTCATATATTCTCTTGTGCTCTTACTGTATTTTCCCCCTTTTTTGCGGGCTCTCTTACTGTATTAATTGGAGATGATCATTTACGGCTATGGATTTTCAGGTGCTGAAGCAATGTTTGCAGACCTTGGGCATTTTTCAAAGCTTTCACTGAGGGTAAGTAAGCCACACTTTTTCAGTAAGGGGTATTGCATGTTTCACCGGGTATTTGTTGAGAGCATATATTTACTGTAATTTGTTTCGCTTCTTTGTCATTACAGCTTGGGTTCACGATAGTGGTGTATCCTTGCTTAGTTCTGGCGTACATGGGGGAGGCCGCCTATCTGTCCAAACATAGGGAGGATCTCCAGAGCAGCTTTTACAAAGCTCTTCCAGGTGAGGGGCCAATTAATGCTTCCACAGGTTTGATGCAAGAATCCATTTCATTTGCTATCCGCATTTTTTACCCCAAAAGACATATATGTTGCCATTATCGTGGTGTACTCATTTCTTTGTGGATAATACTCCCTCCGTCCCATAATATAAGAGTGAGCGTCTAGTGTAAAAAACGCTCTTATATTATGAACAGAGGCAGTAGGAAGGTATGTCTCCTTTTTTTTTGCGATGAACGAAGGTATGCCTATTTGCTTCTGCATCGTATGATAATCTGCTTGTTTACTATGACAAATGAAATATTTTGTTGGGTTAGCTTCGACGAACATACCACCACCTGCTTGTGGTGGCTTGCTTCTTATTCTTCCAGCGTAACCCTGTCGCCGGGGAGAATGAGGTCATACGTTGGCACGAGATACTAGATCTAGTGCGGCGACGTGGAAATCATTGCTCGGGGACAACACCTTCATGAAGGGGGCAATTCTCATATGTGACAGTAATGGGTCCAGTCAACGAGGGCTAAACCTTTGGGTTTCACCCAAAGTTGGAGCTCCACGGCTACTCCTTCTACAAGGGATTAGCACACATACGTTGCCATTAGTAGATCTATCAACTGAAGGCAATATCAAGTGTTTTCACACCAATGTGGTACTCGTGCAACCACACAATACTCTCATCGCTTCATTCAAGCACAGAAGGCAAGACTAGTATACGCCAACTATGGTGACAACCATCTTCTACCTTACCGAATGTCTAGACTGGAAAAAAGACCGCTACGTGACGGTACATCATCATCAGCTTTGAAGTAGGGCACCGCTCCTTAATAACCCTATTATCTAGATAGAAACCCCTACTACCCGACATAGCAAGGACATCAGATTTGGAGTTGGGCACCGCCCTTTACCGACCCGTTTACCTAGAGAGAGACAATCCCTACCTACCCGACACAACAACAAAGTCAACTTTTGAACACGCCACCGCTCCTTACCGACCCCTATTTTTTGAGAAACCCCCTACTACCGAACACACCAACTGTGCTAGCTTTCGACAAGGCACCGTTCATTACCCTTAGCATCGGACTCACTGGCCCTAACACCACACTACCAAAAATGTGTCACTAGTAATAATTGATCGGCATACTACATATAGAATTTACCCCACATAGGGTCACGAGCTTTGCTACACCTATGTAAAGTTTCTTACGTAAGTTATGAATGAGCTGACTTGGCCTGATTTGGTTAGAAGAGAAAAAAGGCCCAGGCCCACACTGTGAAATTCAGGGTGGGAGGGCTGGGGGGGGGGGGCTCATTAGTTTAGGAAGGAAAGAACATAGCTTTACATAGGTCTAGCATTTTTGGTAGGGTCACCCATGAAGTAGCTCACCAGGAGCCTACATACATTCACCTTTTCAAGAAGCTTAATAAAATCTCGATTAATTGATACATAGATGCGCCTTTGCAAAAAATATTTCTCTTTAAATCTCAACAAATTGTGAAAAGTGCAACTCCGTCTTAAAAAAGTTCAAGTTGCACTAGGATACATACAACATGTTTGGATGACGGTCCAATTTATCGAATAGGTGTTTAGTTATCTGGTCCTATTTTTGTCGGTTGTGGCATTTTATTTTATTTCTTTCAAGTTTGCTTACGAACATGTGATGAGCTATGTACTTTGATGCTAGTTCTTTCAATAAAATGACTTTGTACATCACTTGATGGAGAGGCCAGAAGTAATCCTCCTTTTTGAAAAAGAAAAAGAAAACAAAACTAAACTAAAGTTATACTTTTTCTAAATTGGTTGAGACTTAAAAAAAAAATCTTAATTGATTAAGACCTATGCGCCTTTGCAAAAGTAGTTTTGCTAAGTACCAATCAATTGAGACTTTCTCTAGTCCCAATTGATTTTCGAAAAGTGCAACTTCAGTTTGGTGAAGAGTGAAACCTCCACTTTTTGAGTTGCTAATTCTAAATCGATTGAGATTTCTTTGAAATACTAGTTGATTGAAAAAAGTACCCCCTCCGTCCGAAAAAACTTGTCCCAAACTTGTCTCTTAAATGGATTTATCTAGCACTAACTTGATGCTAGATACATCCATTTGAGGGACAAGCTTTTTCGGACAAAGGGAGTACAATTTAGTGAAAAGAATTTTTCATGAATATGCAAAAGTTTTGCATATCTTTGCATTGATAGAAGAGTGGAAAGTACAAGGTACGATAGCAAGTTGCAAGCACGTACACAAGAAATGATGTCAGCTAGTTGTCGGGGCACGGAGAGAGCCACTACCACCCAAGGCTACTAAGGGTTATGTCTCAAGAGTAATATGGTTAAACCTTTTGCGCCGGCTCGTGCCCACATGCGAGTTTCATCCTGGAGGGGCGTTCCCCATTGAAGACACAGTCGTTCTGTTGCTTCCAAAGTCACCAAGCGATGAAAACGGCTAGAGAGGCCATATTCAGTGTAAGCATGTCGTGGGGGACTGACACGGTACCATGTGAGCACATCATGTTAAACCTGCCGCGAAAAGGAGCAGCCCGCGAGGAGATATTGGATCGTTTCAGGCTCTCGCACAAGGGACATATCATATTGTGCAGGAGGGCATGGTGACTGAGGCGATCATCCTTACAGAAGGTCTTGATGCGAAGGGGGTCCACAATTTATTGAAAAGTGCAGTTTATACTATTATTTTCCACCTAGTTCATCGTGTGTAAGTTCAGTTTAGTGAAAAGTGCATCTCGGACCATTACTTTTTAGAATCATTTTATTTTAAAGGAAATAATTCCCTTCAACCGACCGATTCTGCGCGAGCATCCGCCATCTGTATTTCTGTTGGATGGGCATTCTAATCAACAGTTGGGAGCTAACCCCTCCATACCCACGTTATGCAACTGGTCCATCGTTTCGGAAAGAGGTTCTGCAACTAGCCCCTTATTGCAACCCGACTAGAGAGTAGGTCCCGCAGCTGCTGGGACCAGGGAGGGCAATTTTTTTCCGCAACACGACCCTATGTTGTGAAAAAAATCCCACAATACAAACTATGTTGCAAAAAAATGCTGCAATACAACCTACGTTGCAAAAAAAAATTGCAACATAAGTTCTGTTGCAAATGTTTCCGTAACAAGACCTTTGTTGCAAAGTAGAGAAAAACGTTTGGTTGATCAATTATATCAAATCCGACGGCTCGCGAGGCAGTCCCCTTATTTTAAACTAGCCTATTTAAAATCACTTGATATATACTTGAAAAATCTCAACAGACCCAAAAATGTAGACGTATATTTAGCATATATTTTCCCTGTGGGCATGCATGCAGCATGCTTTATACATTACTCCCTCCGTAAAGAAATATAAGAGCGTTTATAGATCACTATATATATTTCCTATCACGTTCTAAATTTGACTGAACTTTCCCCTCCCGTTCCTGTTAATTTTCTGGAAATTCAGACCGTGTGTTCTGGCCTGTTCTGTTCATCGCGACGCTGGCCACCGCCGTCGGGAGCCAAGCGATCATCTCCGCCACGTTCTCCATCATAAGCCAGTGCCGGGCCCTGGGCTGCTTCCCGCGCATCAAGGTGGTGCACACGTCCAGCCATGTCCATGGCCAGATCTACATCCCGGAGGTGAACTGGACGCTCATGTCCCTCTGCCTCGCCGTCACCATCGGCTTCCGTGACACCGAGATGATCGGCAACGCCTACGGTACGAACCTACGACGCGCCATTCTTGTTGCCTTCAAGTGTCGCTGATTTTGCTAATATTCATTTGATCTGTGCTCGTCTCAGGGCTGGCTGTGATCTTGGTGATGTTCGCGACGACGTGCCTAATGTTCCTGGTGATCACCACGGTGTGGAACCGGTCGGTGCTGTGGGCGGCGCTCTTCGCCGCCGGCTTCGGGTCCATGGAGCTGCTCTACCTCTCGGCGTGCCTGGCCAAGGTTCCGCACGGCGGCTGGCTGCCGCTGCTGCTCTCGCTAGCCACGCTGCTCGTCATGTCGGCGTGGCACTACGGCACGGCCAAGAAGCAGGAGTACGAGATGCAGAACAAGGTGTGCCTGGACCACTTCATCGGCCTCAGCTCCGGCATGGGCCTCGTGCGCGTCCCCGGGGTCGGGTTCGTCTACTCCGACTCCGTTGCCGGCGTGCCGCCCATGTTCGCGCACTTCGTCACCAACTTCCCGGCGTTCCACCGGGTGCTCGTCTTCGTGTCGCTGCAGACGCTGACCGTGCCCAAGGTGCCGCCGGAGGAGCGGTTCCTGGTGGGCCGGATCGGGCTGCCGGAGCACCGGATGTTCCGCTGCGTGGTCCGGTACGGGTACAAGGAGGGCCGGTGGGACCACTTCAACTTCGAGGACCAGCTGCTGGTGAAGGTCCTGGAGTTCCTCCAGCTGCAGCAGGCGGACGGCGACGGCGAGCGGTGCAGCACCGGGTCCGGCGAGATGTCGGTCATCCCGGCCGCGCCCAGCCAGGCCGTCGTGGACGCGCTGGCGTCGATGAGCTCCGGCGAGATCGAGTACTACGCCGGCGGCGGCGCCAAGAAGGTGCGGTTCGAGGAGCTGCCGGCGGCGTGGAGGAGGGAGGAGACGATGGTGGAGGTGAGGGCGCTGCTGGAGGAGCGGGAGGCCGGGGTGTCGTACATGATCGGGCACACCTGCGTGTTCGCGCACGAGTCGTCGTCCGCGGTGAAGAAGTTCGCCGTCAACGTCGTGTACGGGTTCCTCCGGCGCAACTCGCGGAGGCCCGCCGTCGTGCTCGGCATCCCCCACACCTCCCTCATCGAGGTCGGCATGGTTTACAGGGTGTGACTCACATCGTCTTGCTGGCCGGGGCCGCCGATCGCTCGCTCGCTCGCTGAAGAAGAAGAAGAAGCGTAGTTGTAGGCTACAGTAGCTCAAGATAACTGAAGAATAACAACACCTCGTTGCTGCTGAAATGAAAATCAACATAGCATGCATGCTGTTGTTTGCGGATTATGATCACATCGGTACTGTCTGGTTTAACTCTGCCGGCGGCGAAGTAACGAGAGAAGCATGCAGTCCGATTGCCCGCTTGCTCGCTCGCTCGAATAGTTGTAGGCTCAAATGTAAGTGAACATGACTGAAGCCTCGTTTGGTAGAGAGGGATTTGGTGAATGCTCTCTTCCACCCAATCCTCTCAAATCATAACAGTTGTAGGCTCAAATGTAAGTGAACATGACTGAGTCCCCAATCCTCCTTCAGCCACAATCCCTTTTGTATAACAGTTTCTGTTTGGCAGGCAAGGTTTGTCATTGAGACAAGATGCTGCAGAACATCTAAAAAAATCCAATCATTACAAGTAAAACAACATCATAGCAAGAAAAACTAAGTAAAATGGGGAAACTGTTTAGCATATGTTAAATACTCCCTCCCGTCCTTTTTAGTCTGCATATAAGTTTGGTTCGAAGTCAAAGTATCTCTACTTTGACTGACCTTCTAGAAAAAAGTATAAACATTCACAATGTCAAATCAATATTATTAGATTCATTGTGAAATATAGTTTCATAGTATATATATTTCGTATTGTAGATGTTGATATTTTTCAATATAAATTTGGTCAAACTTTGTAAAGTTTGACTTGACAAAAACCTAATACGCAGGGTAAAAATGACCGGAGGAAGTCAAACTATCTCTACTTTGACCAAATTTATAGAAAAAAGTATCAACATTCACAATGCCAAATCAATATTTTTAGATTCATTATGAAATGTAGTTTCATTGGACATATATTTGGTATTGTAGATGTTGGTATTTTTTAATATAAATTTGATCAAACTTTGCAAAGTTTAACTTAACACAAATCAAATACGCGGAGTAAAAAGGACCGGAGGGAGTATAAAAATTAAGCCTTGTTAGTAGTAACACTTCAGCAGCACACACTTCAACTAGGTTTGGTGCCTTAATGTAACCCAACTAGAGGAGACATTTGCATTAGCACTACAAATAAGCTACCCTGACCCCTGTCCCTGCACCTAACGAAAGAAAGGTGTGAAACCAAGTATAGGTGTGAAGTTCACAAGCTACTAGATGTTGATCTGTACATTATGGAACAAGACAAAATATTATATTAGGCAAAAAGAAGAATGCAGATTGAAGATACCACTGGTGGGCTGGAGATACCACTGTCCCTCTAACCATCCAACCACAGGTTGATTCACGTCATGGGATGTAATTAATCAGTACTATTTCCGCAAAAGAAAACAATACTATGAACTATTCTAAATTTGTTTTTTTGCAAAAAGTGTTGTGAATTGTTAATTTTAATCCCATTGAAGATTTTCGGGATGATTTTCAGGAAGATTAATGAGACGAGCAAAAACGTTGGGGGTATTAAATTTAGTTTTACCATAAAGTACAAAACTTATTTATTTTATGCAAGTCAATGTTGGATAAATTAGTATTTTTTTATTAATTTAGTCCATAAGTACATCATGACTGCATTCCTAAAAGTATTAATCTCATATTGTAAAGTAATCATGCGAGCACTTACTATGCATATCTATGATAAATTGAAGTCGGCAAACACAAGAACCACTAAAAGAGGGGTGAATATAGCCTCTCTTTGCCTCGCCCTTCACACCGCAAATCAGCAGCGATGTGCATGAGTCGGTGCACTGCAACCCTGCTGCGGCAAGTGAGGCAAGCAGCACGGGATCGGTCCCAGCAATGGTGGTGGCACAACGGCGGCGACTGCACACGCGGTGCTGGCTCATTCCCGCCTAACTCGCCCAGGGGATAGATCATACCTTAGTCAGAAAGGTCAAAGCCATGGCGGTGATAACTGCATAATCGATTGTCGTCTTCTTGGGGGCATCAGAATTGTTACCGATGGCGTCGGTGAAGAAGTTGAGGAAATAGTCAAAGTTCTGGACGAAAACAAACAGTAGCAAGCAGTCACACTAAAACACTCCCCAAAAACATTATTGCCCTTCTTCTGGTGCAGCATCACAAAACAACAGGTGTTCTGAAAGCACACTTTCGGAACAGTCGCGCACACAGTTGTCGGGAAGAAGTAGTTAGAATCATCAACAGTAAGAGGAACAACAGTGGTGCGTGCACAAGGATGCAGAGTGGATGTGATCTAGTCATGTGACGGCTAAGATTGTCAACGCCTTGAATATTTAGGTGATCGGGTAGGAATATGTTAATTTTCACTTAAGTATTTGTCATAAGCCAGCAAAATTAAAGTGCACATATGACATTGGTGTGAGCTCGGCTCGTTCATGAAATATGATGCGCACACGATGGATGAGGATGACACATGCACCATTCCTCTTCTCCTGCTCCAATAGGATGTGGAAGCAAGTATCTTATATGTTGGTCTTAACTCTCCTCCACTTTTGGTGTGTGATTAAACTTTCCAGCATGTCATGGAACACACATAAGCCTTTGGGATTTTTCGGTAATCATACAAACATATAGATGTGTAATTTTTACCAATTTCATGACACTTGAACGCCATTCTTTTACCTCCTGGGAGCACGTGCTTGGAGTGCAATTTTTAACTACATAATTATAGGCCTACAGTTTTTGGCTCGATACATGATTTTTGAAATTATCTTGTGAATATGCAAATGTCCATCGGCGAGGCAAGCTGCATATATTACTAAGTTGGTTACACAATTTAGATATGTTATACTAGTATATTGTAAAGAGAATTAATGTAAAAACAAACGAACAATATTACAGTTTACACAGTATGAATTCTATATGTTTTATGCATGTTACGAATGGTATGATTTTGATACCAAATACAAAGCACGCATAGTTGTCTACTCAATTAAAAGATGGTAAATTATACGAACGCACCACCAACCCACACAAGTGTTGGGAAATATAGGGAAAGACTACTTGTTTATACTTCATACACATCAGCACTCTCTATTTAGTCGCACCTAAATTAGGTAGTTTTGTAGTCTAAAACTTTGTCATGATACACACTACAACACGTTACCAACTTATGTAGATATTCAAAGATATTATAGACAAGGACAGATATAAACGCACAATAATACATTAAGATTAATAAGATCTTTTGTTGGTGAATTCTTCTGTTATAGATTTAAGTGTTGAACCATTGAGTGTACCAAGAAATTTACTAGACCTATTTTTACCACAAAGTACAAAACTTATTTACTTTATGCAAGTCAATGTTGGATAAATTAGTACTTTTCTATTAATTTAGTCCATAAGTACATCATGACTGCATTCCTAAAAGTATTAATATCATATTGTAAAGTAATCATGCGAGCACTTACTATGCATATCTATGATAAATTGAAGTCGGCAAACACAAGAACCACTAAAAGAGGGGTGAATATAGCCTCTCTTTGCCTCGCCCTTCACACCGCAAATCAGCAGCGATGTGCATGAGTCGGTGCACTGCAACCCTGCTGCGGCAAGTGAGGCAAGCAGCACGGGATCGGTCCCAGCAATGGTGGTGGCACAACGGCGGCGACTGCACACGCGGTGCTGGCTCATTCCTGCCCAGCTCGCCCAGGGGATAGATCATACCTTAGTCAAAAAGGTCAAAGCCATGGCGGTGATAACTGCATAATCGATTGTCGTCTTCTTGGGGGCATCCGAAATGTTACTGATGGCATCGGTGTAGAAGTTGAGGAAATAGTCAAAGTTGTGGACGAAAACAAATAGTAGCAAGTAGTCACACTGAAACACTCGCCAAAAACATTATTGCCCTTCTGGTGCAGCATCACAAAACAACGGGTGTTCTGAAAGCACACTTTCGGAACAGTCGCGCACACAGTTGTCGGGAAGAAGTAGCTAGAATCATCAACAGTAAGAGGAACAACAGTGGTGCGTGCACAAGGATGCAAAGTAGATGTGATCTAGTCATGTGACGGCTAAGATTGTCAATGCCTTGAATATTTAGGTGATCGGGTAGGAATATGTTAATTTTCACTTAAGTATTTGTCCTAAACCAGCAAAATTAAAGTGCACATATGTCATTGGTGTGAGCTCGGCTCGTTCATGAAATATGATGCGCACACACGATGAATGAGGATGACACATGCATCATTCCTCTTCTCCTGCTCCAATTTTTTTTTGACAAAGGGTGGCTTCTCCTGCTCCAATAGGATGTGGAAGCAAGTATCTTATCTGGTCTTAACTCTCCTCCACTTTTGGTGTGTGATTAAACTTTCCAGCATGTCATGGAACACACATAGGCCTTTGGGATTTTTCGGTAATCATACAAACATATGGATGTGTAATTTTTACCAATTTCATGACACTTGAACGCCATTCTTTTACCTCCTGGGAGCACGTGCTTGGAGTACAATTTTTAACTACATAATTATATGCCTACAGTTTTTGGCTCGATACATGATTTTTGAAATTATCTTGTGAATATGCAAATGTTCATCGGCGAGGCAAGCTGCATATATTACTAAGTTGGTTACACAATTTAAATATGTTATACTAGTATTTTGTAATGAGAATTAATGTAAAAACGAACGAACAATATTACAGTTTACACAGTATGAATTCTATATGTTTTATGCATGTTACAAATGGTATGATTTTGATACCAAATACAAAGCACGCATAGTTGTCTACTCAATGGAAAGATGGTAAATTATATAAAAAAGAACGCACCACCAACACACACGAGTGTTGGGAAATATAAGGAAAGACTACTTGTTTATACTTCATACACATCAGCACTCTCTATTTAGTCGCACCTAAATTAGGTAGTTTTCTAGTTTAAACCTTTGTCATGATACACACTACAACATGTTACCAACTTATGTAGATATTCAAAGATATTA